TTTTGCATTTCCATAATAATCGGCAATGAAAATACAAGCAGGTAAATTTGTGTTGTTGTAGAAATATATAGTTAAGATATAGATAATCAGGTAAATTCAAATAATTAATTAATTATTCAAAATAAATTATTCTTTATTTTTATTGCATTTTCAGAATAATCAGCAATGAGAATACAAGCAGGTAAACGCATATTGGATTTAGGTTTGGGGATGTACAGATGTGGTTAATATTTCATATAATGATATTGAGAAGCATCTCAGCATCTTAAACTGTGCCATGCATGTCATTGTGTGTACTGTGTGTGTTAAAGGTCAGGTGTGTACCGTTGTTGCCCAGCGCTTTCATCATGACCTCCATCTGTGCGAACTCGTAGCTGTAGTCCTGCTCAGACGAGGCCTGGCTCGCCGTCTCCACGTCGGCCTCCACGAAGCTGTCGTGCTCCGGCTCCTTCATTCGCTCGCGCCGCTTGCGCTTCGGGAGACTGATTCTGAGGACGACATTCGCTCGGATGAGTCTGACCCCCGAGAGAGACGCCTGTGCGTGTGCAGCTGCAGCTCACCTGAAGAAGTGGTTGTTTCCCCACAGGACGCGGTCGCCGTGCCACAGGTGAACCCTGGAGTAAACCATCGTCCCGTTCACACAGGTCCTGTCACAATCAGACACAATACCTTGCACAAATAAGACACAAGGCGAACGCGAACGCACAACAAGACAATATGAAAATGCATATAAAATACTATGTATTTTAATGTTTTCAGAAAATATTCAGAATTATGATGTTGTTTTCTAAAAAACAAAAAATGCACAACAACTGAAAAAAAATATTGAAAAATAGCTTATTTAGTTAGTTGCCAAGGCAACATTTAAATTTTTTGTAGTTTAAGTACTAAAATGAATAAAACAGAAATAAAAATGAATAAAGATATTATGCAAACATATATATGTTTATATTCGGAAATATTCAGAATTATCAGTGTTGTTATCGTTGACTAAAACTAAAACATTGACAATAATTGAAATAAAATAAAATATAAAAAAAACATAATTTTTTAGCAAGTTGCCAACATTTGTAATTTTTGTTTAGTTTAAGTTGAAGTACTA